GCTAATGGCGATTCCATTGGGTTTCGAGCGCAACTTGCGACAATATTCAATATTCAATTGCAATTGCAATTCTATTTTAGCACTTACCTTATGAAAGAGCTATAACTGCAGGCACTCATCAGTTGGGCTGCTAAATAGTATTCAAAAACAATATAACAAATACATTCAATATGCGACAGACTCTGAAAAGCACAGTTGCAGTTTGCCAAGAACAATTTATAAATCTTATATTAATAAGGCACTTTAATGCCATATAAATCGGGATAAGTTTCCAAAGTAAGTAAAAGTGCAGCAAGTAGTGCCAAAGTTTCAGAGTTTGAATTGAATTAGATTTTGCATCTTTTGAGCGGATCATATTTTTATTTTTTGTCTTTTTTTAGATTTACGATTTTAAACTAAATACAAATAGTGATCTTTAAATATTATATTTATCAATTTATATTATTTTTTGTAGTTTTTCTTTTGCTGTGAAGGAGACGTCTCCGATCCCATCAGGTATATGTATTCACTTGCTAGAGCCAAAAAACTTGTCTTTTTGCCTTAATCAATAAGGACACCAAAGCCGACTAAATCATATAGCTGACATTGGAAACATCTGTCGGAAGTTGATGATTAAGTTATGGTGTCGAGCTTAGCTAAGCTTTAGACCTTCACAAACATTCTGATATTTCGAACTGCGTACTCAAATTGACAGCAGCCTTCAAGGGTATGTAATCTTCGGTATGCTTGAGATAAGCATTCTTTCTTGATGGTTTTTACTTTGAGTATACTAATGCAACTATTTCCAATTACTTGTATATCCTTTAATTACATTTATATTTATTGGAGATGAACCTTCGGTTGTGAACTGCAACGTTCTCGCTTGCATTCACCATACTTAATATAAGACACATTTTAAATCTGAATTCTAAATTCAATAAGATTTTTGCTTATTCAAAGATTTGAAGATTATATGTTAAAGAATAAAGTCATTGCTTAGGAGAGTATTTATCATAATTTTCAACTTGTGAAGAATATTTAAGTATTTAGAATACAACTTAATATAATTATTTACACTATAACGCTATATAATATAAAAATTTTTCATTTGTTTAGTTAATTTTAATTAGAGAAGCACCTGTAAATAATTTTTGGCTTTTCACACTTGAATAGTTGTCGGGCACACAAAGAACGCACATAGCACAAATGGATCGGTCATTTGTTTGAATTGTTTCTATTAGACAAAAATCACCGCTGCCATCCATCCATCGAGTCGCACATCCATCCATCCATCCAACCATCCTTCAAGGTATCCATCCATGCAGGCAGCCTCATTCCCCTTTATGACATGGGTAACAGCATGCATGCCCCTGACCAAACATAATACCTCGGTTAATGGTTACAAATTAGGCTGATCGGCCGCACGCACGCAGACTTACACATATATATGTATATGTATATAAATATATATTTATACATATATATAAATACATACATGAAGCAGAAGCAGGAGGAAGCCATGTGTATAAATGGCCAACCGCAGCCGAGTTTCTCTTTCTCTCTTTCTCTCTCCATCTCTGTTCAGGTTCAACACTGGCCAAAAGTGACGCCAAGACTAAACTGCCAATTTAATAAATGGCCACACATTAATTAAAGCAACACACGCAGAGATGAACTTCGGACTTGAAGGGCTTGTCGATGCTTTTCGAGTGGCTGTGTGAGTGATGAGCCTTGATTGATTCCTGAGGCCACACTTGAGAGTGTGCATTGTTGCCATAATTGTAAGTGGGCAAATGCAGTTCTCGGCTCAAAGAAGATTTGGCCTTGGCTGCACATTGATTTATGCCGCAGGCCAAGCAAATTTGTTTCCAATTCATGCCTAATGAGAATTGATTGCTTGCGTGTATTTTGACAAACGCATGACTCTTGTGTTTTGCTACAAATATCGCCAGCTAATTAGCAGGTAAGCGCAACTCAATGTACTTCCCGGAAAACGAACCAAGTCGAGTCTCAAATTTGTGGCCCGTGCAAAACAGTAGCCAACAATTGGCAACAAAAGCAGGAGCATTAGAAAAGTCACCGGAATAAAACGTTGCCAGCAGAAAGGAGTAGGGGAAAAGACGGCGGGCGGTGTGCAGCGCTCAGCGTGAGTCAATCCTTCGACTAGGAGAACGACTAAAACTACGAAATCGACTTTGGCTTAATCCCAACAGCTTCACCCTTTGCTGGTGCCGCCGGCAGTCGCGTGGGTGTGCGAGGGGCGTGTCACTGTGCCGAATGGCGAATATGCAAAACAACACAGGCAACCTGACGATCCTATGAAATTAGCAACAGTAGACGGGTTAATTGTTTTCTTTTGCCAAAAAGAAAAACCATACAAAAGGGTTGACTCCGACTGCGTCTGCGAGTCAGGAGGCTGAGACATGGCCGGTGACTTCTGTTGGGATTAGCCAGGATGAAAGAGGATGAGACCGGATTACAGCCCTGCCTTTATGCATGCCGAACGCCGACTTCGAAAGGGGCGGTTACGGCCAGCGTCTCAGTTGGCTCAAATACTTCACAAACAGCCCGAAAGTCAAAAGTCAATTCATAAATATTACAAAGGAAAATATCGGATTAGAAGAATTCTTTTAAGAAAGTCGATTTTGTAAATTTAAGTTTGGTAAATAATTCAAATTTTTAAGTATATTTTATAAAGAAAATGTCTCATTTAGAAAGCTCCAGTCGAGAGAGCTCTACTAGGAGATAATCTGATACGCCTTTAATATGAAAATGCGTTTTGGTTAACAAAATATATATTTCTAATTTGTCAATAAATAAATGAAACCATCCAACTATTAATTTGTACATTCAGCATTGTTCTGAAGTTTTTATTTATGTAGAGAAGGCTATACACGCTTATACTTATATATACCTTATACCTTTAATATTATATAAGATAAGATCAGGTTTGAGATGGACAGTGAAAATGATTCTACTAGAAAAAGGCTTTGGTTTGGGTAGTATATAGGAAGGCTATTCATTTAAGCTTGTGTATTTTATTGCATTCAGAAATCAATTAGTATCGATATTCGCCAAACGGGACAGTTATCGGTAAAATGAAATTAACTAATCTCTCTTATTCCAAATTCGAAATATCTAGCTTTAATATCCTCTGAGATCGACTTGTTCATTTAGACAGGCAGGTCAACGTTTGTACAGATAGACAAGGCTAGCTTTTCCTTTATTTAGCTATATTTTATAAAGAATATAAGCATATCCTATAATCAGCCGCTATTTTCACTTTTATGGAATTTACTACTTACCTAAACAAAAGCAAAATGTGCAACCCATTCGCAACTTAGTAAGAGATATTCATAGAGTGCTTACAAATTGTATGGCTTTATAAATGAAAAGTAAAATAAAAATATATATTAATTAAGATGCGCATATGACAATTTCGTATTTTAGACAGAAATTTCAAGGTCCTTGAAAATTATGTCATACTGGATTCAAGTTCACTTTCTCTTGCAAAGACTCCCTTAATCAATACTGTTGAGGTACTCCTATCGTTAGCGATATCAGTTTCTTGGTAGGTCCTCAGTGCGGTGACATAACCAGTCGAAAGGCAGTGACAAGCTGAGCTACCGTTGTCACTCATTAGGGTAAGGGGAGCCTCGTCCGTGCGGCTGACATTGTGTCAAGTTGTTTCCTTAACACGTGCTCCTCCACTCGTAATCATTCCGAGCCGCTAATTTCTCGACCCTTGCGGTCGCTGTATGTTTTCAACTCCTCCTGGCGGTGCACGCTCGGTTCCGTAAGTAGGTCTTAATCCTTTTCCTTATCGCCTCGGCGCGAGTGCGAGCAATTTCCAGTTGCCCGAGCAGCGAGCGGGATGGGGGGGAGGGACAAGGAGACCAGTGAGCAGGGAGCAGAACTGGACTGGAGAGTGACTGACTGAATGCGCGTAGATCAATTCGCAATGATAAATTAAGCGCTAAGAGTGTTTCCATGTTCCTGCAAGACAATCCACTGTCAAGCCGGGGAGATTGATTGTGGCGAGCTTCTGAGCCTGAGCCTGTGCCCATGCCCGTGCATGCAGCTCCAGCCTGACTTTGTCACATGTGAGTGCTGTTTTGTGGCCACATTGTCAACGCGATGTTTGCCTGAATAAGCAGCGACAATTTGCAATAGGAGTTCAGCTGAAGCTGCAGGTCCGTTTCAGGCGCATACAATTCAAGTTGGCTAAGACCAGTTTATGACACTCTATCTTTCTCCCTCTCTGCCAGGGATCGGCGTTTTGTGTAGGCAGGTAGGTTGGCAAGTTGGCTGGCTGGCTGGCTGACTGGGCTGCCACTTTTAAAAAGATGATGCCTTGTTTAACATATTTCCAGAAGCCAACAGGTGCCAATGGGCTGTGATCAATCATTGCGAATCGATGTTTAATTAAGAACTCTTGTTAGCATTTGCCAACTATCGCAGCCGGCGCATCTCGCGCCTCATTGAGCCTGAGCCAGAGCCAGAGCCCCAATCTCGAATCCCGAATCCGCAGCTCTTAGTCTCCCACTCCACTTCCTCCACTGTACCCAGTCATTCCACATGAGCGACGCTGATTGCCAACAAAGGCTTGTTGAATTCTTTTGGGCAGCGCAACAAAGGCTGCTCGCTCGTAGGATTGCCCCGTCTGGCGGTTAAGCCTCATACCCCATGCCACATGCCACATGCCCCATACCCTATGCCCAACAGCGCGGTTCCATGATGTTTAAATTTGTCCTAATTAGATGACAATGAACGATGAGTCAGCGTTAAATACAAGTGTTCCTCTCGCATCACTTTACGGCATAGCTTTAAGCTTGCGATTAACTACTGAACATTTTTGAAAATAACTAAAAAAAGAATAAAACATATTAGAAACTGGATTTTAAATACCAGAACCAATAGTATCTGAAATTATCATAATATAGAATATATGTTTCTTTTCCAGAAATTCACTTCCTTCTAAAAGTTTATTTCGTTTTCTGAATTAAATAATTTCACAGCACTTTTAATATTTCCAAGTAAAATTGTTCGGTTTATTTGGTTTTTATATTGTCTAGGTATATTTATATATTGTTTGTTGGTTGTATCCATAAAATATATACGTTTGAACTTACATACATATCTACGCACAACAGATGCAACTAGTTAGATACAATACTATTAATAATAATAATAATAATAATAATAGCAATAATAATTATACATTTAATCATAAATTTATATTTACCACTTAGTTAGATCCACTTACGACTATGACAAATTGGGCTTGTGTTTGTGTTTAATTTGCTATGCTTTATACAAAATGTACCACTAATTAAGTACCGCTAATTTACAAGGTTTTGTTTTGTTATCTTTTTGGGAGGATGTCGGGGTGGGGGAGGAGCGTTACACATACGTTCCCAAATTCAGAGTGGATGCCCCAATAGTTGTGTGGCTCTGCGCTTAACTAACTAACTACAAGTAGTTTTTTGTTCACTGTATATTCCGAATTTCCCGGTGACCTTGACACATCGCCGGGTGTATAAAATAATGGGGAATTCCGTTTACGATTATATTACAATACGTGCCGACTTAAAACAAAAAAATAAAAATAACAACCATGGGGTTACAGAAAGTAAGGATTCAATATACAAGGCCCATCTGGCTGGGACGTTCAAGAGGCGTGTTGGGGGCCACCTAAAGTGCCGTCAGATCATAGTCCTGTTTGATGTGCTGCTGCAGATTGGTCATGAGATCGGATTGCTGTTGTTGTTGTTGCTGCTGCTGCTGTTGCTGTTGGTGGTGATGCAGACCCGTGTGCATCTGGCTATTGTTGTTGAGGTTGCTGCTGTTATTATTATTATTGTTGTTGTTGCTGATGTTATTATTATTGTTGTTGTTGTGATGCACTTGAAGCTGCTGAGATCCGGCAAAGGCATTGCCATTGCCACAGGACTCCGCAACGGCTGGGATGTACGGCGGATTCCCAAGCGAGGAGCTGACATCGCCAATGCTTTCCAGGCTATCAGAGCGAATGCACTATATTGAAATAAAGAGGGGGCACAGGTGGGGAAATAAGTATTTTGATATTAAAACGAATTCACCAAGTCACAATGACAACTAGCTGAGCACAGGCACTTAAGCTTAAGATTAATCTTTCACAGCAGGTGTATAACAGAAACTGACAATGAATTGCTATTCAATCTTTAATAAATATTCCTACAAATTTAATGTATAAAAGAAAAAATTCTTTATCATTGCAGTTTAGCTGGAGGCCATAGTTTTTCACATTTTTTAGTTCGACTCTCAGTTGCTTAGATGTATTTATTTTGCTAACAAATTTTTATTTTTTTTGTTTTCTGATTAAGCTTACAACACATTTGAGCTCCCTTCTTCTCTTGCCACATTCCCCAACTCTTTCTTTTTCTCAGCAAATAAATTGCATTGCTGCATTTATTGCTTGATTGCCTTGCAGTGAGAATAATCTCAAATTATCCGAGTGCCGCTTTCCGCATAAGTCAATTATGTTTTTTTTAGATGGTTTGTAGTTTTCTTTTGGATGAAGATGAACACAGTTGGGATCTCCAATTCAGTTCTAACACTCGCTATCTCTGTTTCTTTCTCTCTCTCTCTCTCTCTCTCTATCTCTTTGTCCATCTTTTTAATTGGATTACATATATTTGTGTCTCAGGTTTTGCTTTCAGCTAATGTCATTTGTGCTTTAAGTGGCTTGATTCACTGTTGATTGTTGCACAGCGCATGCAACAACACTCACCTCATTCATCACTGGAGTTTGTTGCTGTTGCTGCTGTTGTTGTTGCTGCTGCTGTTGTTGTTGCTGTTGCTGCTGTTGTTGTTGCTGGGCCTGCTTTTTGGCACTGGTGCGCTTTGTGGTCTTCTTGGCTACTGGTGTTGGATTGCCATTGGCATCGACCGTTTTCTTGCGCACATTCTTCGTGTTGGGCAGCTTGTTGTCCTTCTTCCACTTCATGCGTCGGTTCTGGAACCAGATCTTGATCTGGCGCTCCGACAGCACCAGCGTGTGCGCAATTTCGATGCGCCGCCGTCGGGTCAGGTAGCGATTGTAATGGAACTCCTTCTCCAGCTCGAGTATCTGGTGGCGTGTGTAGGCGGTGCGTTGGCGTTTCGGCTCCATGCCCGGCTGATACGAGCCGTTCGCTGCAAGAAGAGAGACAGCCAGCGATAGTCAGTATATAAGAAGATGCATAATTAATGATTGGCAATATGAGAATGGGGTGGGGCTGATGCTGACGCTGAGGCGGGGGCGGGAGCGGTGCTGCGAACTGAGGCACGCCGATTAAGTCGCAACGCGCCACAATTAATACACTTCAAATTGAGTTTCATAATAGTCGGATGGATGGCAGAAGGAGGCTCAATAAATCTCCTCAGATAAGTTGACAACCCCAAAAAGCGCGCCAAAAACTTTTGACAACACCTTGAACCCCAGGGCTGCATCCAGAAGGGTAGCTTGAAAAAAAGAAAAACAACAAAAAAAAGAACACGCACAACAAGAAGAAGAATAAGAAGAGCTGCACTTACACAGCGCCAGTTTGGCTCAGTTGAGAAACAGGATAATTAATCAAAATCAAATGGAACAACTGCCTGTCCGTCTGCCTATCGGTCGCGGACGCGGACGCGGACACAGGCGCTACTTGGAAAAGGGACAACATTACGAGTTCGCTTTTAGTTTTTCCTCGAAATTAAACATTTCCCGGCAGCTACGTCACCCTCCTACTACAGTATCCCCCCCTCGTCACCGCAGCGAGTGTATCCTTTTCCTGTTCCGTTTTTTTATGCGCCACACCTGCTGCTTGCTGCTTGCAATCGCCAATTGCCATCGCCATCGCCATCGGCCCTACACTTTGATCAAATAGAGCGAACAGACAGCTCATCAAATTTATATTCGCACCATCAATTTCAATTTGGCCAGTTTGGAATGCCATCGAGTTTGGGCTTGGGTTTGGAGTTGATGTTTCCATTCCATTCCGAGCAGCAATACTTGCTACTGCTGCTGGGTCTGGGTCCTGCTGCCTTGCTTCCTTGACCAATCATATCCGGAGCACATCAAGTTGTAATTTATAAAAATTTCATTGCACTGTGACAGACAGCTTTCGATTTGATATAAATATTTCAATCCCAACTGCTGCGTTGCTGCGTTGCTGTTTCGCAGCCACTAGATTAATGATGTTGTCCACTGGCCCCGCTGACAGCCGCACTGGGAATAAAAAACATGCTACGAACCTGGGGACAGGCAAGGGTTTCTCACTCTCCCCCACTGCATCTCTCTCTCTGCCGATGCTAAAAATCTATGAGGCGTAGGCCTTAAAGAGCTGTGGACAAGCTTAACGCCCCATTTATGAAATGTAGTCTTTGTTTTTGTAAATTGACATGCAGTCAATAATACTTTTGCACAAAATTAAATTACTTGACTAAAGCTAACGGGCTCTTAAGTGACGATATAAAGAATGTTTAGTCTATCGATGGAGATTTAATCTAGGCAGACGCTTCAAAAACACTTAAATCTTTTTTATTTGCATTACTCAACTCAAGAAACATATCGAAAATTGTCAGATTTCTTCAAAAATACCTCAAGCAACACGTCATCTCCGTGCACCCTTAAAGAAGCTTGCAGACAAATGTTTTCCAATGAGTTATTGATTTGGTAAAAGAAAAGCAATAAAAACATAAACAACAATACCTCAACAGAAACATAAAAATTAAACAATATCAATTACAAAGCCCCAAAGGAACAAGAAACACGGATAAAAAACGAGCAGAAAAGGAACAATACAAATGAAAATGAAACCATTCACGGCAATGACGCGACGTCAGCTGCTGCGTCGGCGTTGCCGTTGCCGATGCCGTTGACGTTGACGTTAACGTTGGCAGCAAGCTGCGTTAATTCGTTTTTAATAAGTGCGTATCATTTCATTTCAACAATTCAACGCAACCCACAGAAAGAGAGAGAGAGAGAGAGAGGGAGGGAGATCGGGGGAGTTTGAGATTCGATGTGTCCATGTCCAGGAAGAGGCCTTCAAGTTGTGCCCAGGTCTCAGTTCCAAGTCAAAGTCTCGCCGGCACAAAGTGCAGCGTCATGGTGAGGAGCGCGTAGCCAAAAAGAGTGCCAATTGCAATTGCCTGGCAGCCAATTTATGAAAATGCCAAATCATACAAGGCCAAGGAAATCAAGACTGCACAAGCAGCAAATGGATGGCGAGGCGGTGCGGCTTGGACTCGACTGATGCGGCCTGTGTTGCAAGAACGTAGCGTGAAACTGCTAAAGAGTGAGCAGTGTGTTGTTTTCTCGTTTCTGCTTTCTGTTTTCTGCTTTCTGTGTTTTGTTGTTTTGAAAATTGGCGCTCTTTGGGGAATTGGCGGCGACTCTTAAACATGTTAGTGCGTAGGTAGATTATTATCACCCTCTCTCTCGCTCACTCTCTCTCTCTCTATCTCTTTTCTGTGTGATACTGTATATGTATATCATGTGTTGGGCATAATTGGCCCTGCCTCATGGACGGCTGTCGGCATGTTTGTCCCATCATATGATTTATCATGCATTTGTGACTCTACAGTTTCATTCATAGCGCTGACGCGAAGCCGAGCAACGTGTATCGAGTCAGTTCCAAAACCAGACAGAGAGAGATACAGATAGAGAGTGAGAGAGAGAGATGGAATAAACAACAAAACTATGTCAGACGTTACTTAATAATCATAATCTCTTTTTGCCGGTGGCGGCTTCATTTGTGGGTTAACTCTTCACATTCAATGCCAGGCAATATGCTCGATATCAGTTTAAGCCAGAGAACTGATCGCCAGCAACGGCGGCATTTGAGGTGTGGTCATCGGGCAACTTCCGGGCTTTGACTCGATGCGATCTCATTCATTGGCAATCTCTGGGCAACTGCTCCCAATGAGCCACTTGATTAATTGCCGCGATAGTGCGAGAGTGTGTAAATATTTGGAAACGTGGCCGGGGCACGACCTGCGATTGAGAAATTTGACTCGTGCCAACAACCAGAGAAATAATTTTTACGTCTGTCAACTTTGATTCCGCTGCTCATTCATCAAACGCAAAACTCGTTCCCAAAAATCGAAGAAAAAATAAAAAAACTCTCTTCAGCCGACGCTTTATTTATTAGAAACAATGTGGGGAAATCGCATTTAATGTGCACTCAACGTTAAATTTAACAAATGACAACAAATTAATATACATATTTTTTGTTTGTTGCTGTTTTTTCGGTTATGCAAACAGAATGCAAGTGCTGCTTGGCCATAATGAATGCAAGGCGCATATTGCGCATACGTCGCATTGGCCAGCGGCAATTGCTAAGTTCTAAGTTGAATTCTGTTTCAGGTTTTTAGTTAAACATTGATGTTGCCAACAACTGTGAATTGTCGGCAACTGTGTGTGTGTGCGTGTGCGTGTGTGTGCGAGTGAGTGGGTAAGTTTTTTTTGTGTGTGTGCTTGCTTCATGAGCTCATGGAAAAAGGCAAGTCAACATCAGCATTTCAACAACAGCGGGAGCTGCATCAGCAGCTTGTCAAGTGACTTGCAATTTGTGGCAGGCAAATAAAAATAAACATGAGCTCATGCTAGTTACACACTCACACACACTCACACACACACACACACAGAGAGAGCCACAAAAACGGAGCCCCTAGCATATGCGTACCACAAATCTCATGTACTTGCAAAACAATTGTAAACACATATACACATGTACCTCATAATAAGATACATTCAAAGATACAAAGTGAAGCACCCGCAGCAATTGAACTTGTAGCTGGTTGAGAGACTTCAGCACAACTCGATTTGTTAATTTGCCAGCAGCAATTTAATAACATTGTCGTTGCATTCAGAATATATGCTAAAAGCACACACAGTTTATAGACACGAACTGCATGTTAATCAAAACAAACAATTCTCATCGAGTTCTAAACCGAAAAGGTACTCAATCAATTTAGCTGCGAATTTTAATAAACGACGTTTTGTTTTTTAGCTCACTAAAAAATTATTTGGCAAGCCATCAAAATGATTAATGTCGCGCAAAATACAATTTATTCAAATTTCGTTTTTGATGACTTTTTGGGTAATATTTCAGATTTAAAAATTTCTCTAAAATCAACAGACATTTAGAAACCGACTCAACCATCGAAAACTTTTCTATTTATTATGAACACAATTGAAATATTCAATTTTAAAGGGATTGGCAGAATTTAAGGTTTGCTTTATGAAAGCAACTTTTGGTTTCATTGAACAATGACCTCATTCTGCTAACTATGCAGGTATAATTGGCAAGTAAATGGTCTTAAATAGGTAGTAACTGTATTCATTCTATTGCCAATAACAATAGCAATCGCAACGCATTCTGAGTGGATTTTCACTTTCCATAGCTCCACAACCAGAAGCGAACCTAATCACCAAAAGTTGCTGCTCAGCGAAACTGAAACTGTCTTAAACCAACTATCGAAGCCATTTTAAGAGTTTTTTTTTCTTTTGTAGCTTGCAAATAATACTATGAAAAAGCTATGGCCAAAAGCCGAAAGACAAACAGTAACAAGTTAAGAAGCTCACGACTCTAAAGACTCTAACAATAGACGCGACCTTGAACACAAGTTTCGTTTGTCTAAAATACAAATATCTGAAAGAAAAACAAGTATGACTACTGCTAGTCGAGAGTGCTCGACTAGGAGATACTCTGTGCCCAAGTCTATATCACAAGCATTTTATAAAAACTATACACAGAAAATGCGTTCATTTGCCGGTTTACAATTTGTTTATTGTGAATTAAGGATTTTTCTAAAGAGAGAAAGATATTTTAAATGTCAGCTTTCATTGCTATTCGTATAAATTCTTATTGATATTAGGGAAACGAAGATTGTTATCGATCAAATGAAGTAAACCTGATCGGAAATATCTGCCTAAAACAGACTGACTAAATCTTCTCGTCTGTTTATGCTAATCAATAATAAATAATCTTTTCGGCGATGTTTTCTTCTGCCTGTTACATACTTTTGCACATCTTCATTATACCCGTTTTGAGCATTTTCAATCGGTTCAGGGTGCAAAATAAAAACCCCACGTTGGAGTTGCGACTGAGAATGTTGACTGCTGCCGAATGGGAAATAAAAGTGTTCTCGATGCCAAGACGCACCAATAAAAGCGTCGCTAATTAACGCCAATTTCAATAATTCCGCGCAAGTAGAGAGCTTCAGAGTTTTATTGGCGCAAATTGAGCAGAGGCTGTGCAGGGACTGAGAAACTCGAATACACTGTCAATTCTGGGCTCCATTCACATTTTTGTGATTTTTGTTTTCCATTGGGACGCTAATTACGCTTTGTTCTCCAGCAGATAGCAGATACTCGCATGCTGCTCAGTGTTACACACAGATATAGAGATCCAGATGGCGTGGCTGCCTCAGCTGTTCGTGCCTCATCTGTCATAAAAGGCGAACTTCTTAATTTTTACTGCGTCATTTTCATCATTGTCATGCCCGAGGCTTGGGCCGCCGCTGGGCCTCTCTTTCTCTCTCTCTCTCTCTCTCTCTCGCTCTCTCTTTCTCTCTTGGTCTCGTCGCATTTCGCAAATGCTGCTCAGTTTCAGTTGGGTTAACGTTTACAGCATCTCTGTCGCATCTGGGCCTCGCTCCGAGTCTGGGTCTGTGAGTGGGTCTGGGTCTGGGTCTGGGTCTGGGTTTGTGACTGGGCTTGCACTTTTTTTTGCCGCCTCAACGGAGGTGAGATGCTGATGAGGTTTTTCGCAAGTCATCGGGTAACTGTGACTGCCAGCCGTGAGCCTGGCCTCTGCGGCACATTGGAAACTTAATCGTGGACTTGCCATTGAAATTCAGTTACAAGGCTGACCACGTTTTCAGTGTGCTTGCCTTACTATGAGCATAAAAATGAATACGAGTGTGGGTATCAGTATGGGTATGAGTGTGAGTATTCGATGCTGTTGTTGAATGTTATTGAATGTTATGTGGAACGTGAACTCGATGATCATCTGCACGGACTCTTGATACGAGTACGGGTTACTAGAGTCTTAAAGCTTTCGTGCATGAAATCAATATTTTGCACTACTATGAATATATTATATTCTATGACTATGCACTCATTTGAATACAATTAGCGATTTGAGAACGCTTTACGCTTGAGTACTAGACTTATAAAAATGTCTAAATAATAATTAATATAACAACTATTTAATTTAGTGCATAGAACTTTAAATATTCAGTTTTTGAACAACAAACTTTGGATAACTTTTTGCGATTTTAAAAAGGATAAATTAAGGTTGAACAACAATATATTTAGGATTATTATAGGGGACTATGGAAACCTGTTAGACTGAATAATTGATCGGCATAGCTCTGATACTTGTTCAGCTATATAGTATATACATTAATCTTAATAGTTGCTTTTAATTACTATATTCTTAATTGTATTTAAGAGAAATCAATGCTAAAATACAACTGTTGACAGTTGTCGTTACTTTATAATCTTGTCAACACTTTGCAACTATTAGGCAAATTGTATAAATGCCAAATTGTCCCCTAAATACTTAAACTTTGTCAAATTATAGCTCTGCCTTTGGCTGTTATTATTGTTGTTTTGATTGTGGTTGTTGTTGTTGTTGTTGGTTTCGAGGGCTAAAGACGTATTATACAAATTGAATTGGTCAGTTCTCGGACCACACGCCACCTGATACGCACGCCAACCCGTGTAGCATTTTGGGCCTAGCCGAGTGTAAGTCATTTGTAAAAGAGCTGAGAACTACAAGAACAACAACCGCAGCAGCAACAACAACCACGGCAGCAAAGTGGCACCGTCTCAACAGGCAGCGAGATTGGACTGAGAACACGGCACGGGAACGGAGAGCTGAGTCTGGGGCTGGGGCTGGGGCTGGGGAGAGCCACATTCCGGCATAACGAGAGATGATGCACTGGCGATAATCAAGTTTCGTCTTGTTTTCGTAGTCGTGCGCTCATGATAAATGTCACAACATTAACATCAAATGACACGGACCATCCGTCACTCAGTCGGAGTTTTGTGTTTGCCCCTGAGCGATCTCAACTCTGTTCCACAGTCCGTTCGTCTCTCTCTGCCTGTCTGCCTGTCCGTCTGTCTGTCTGTCAGTCGAACTACTTCGATTTGATGCTCATCAGCATAGCTAATCCCCCCGAAACGGTGTCGCACATCGAGATTGTCTCAGTCACTCTGTCTCTGGAGTGGCACTGAAGTCGCATGGCGAAATCTAATGATATAATTGCCCATTAGGGTCAAGGTTATGTTTAATTGGAGTGCATCACGGAGCTGCATAGTCGCTTGGACTAAGCAAATATCTCACACTTGGCAAATATAGAGGCACACATGGATAGGCTAATTAAAAAACCATTTATCAGCCAACGCAGTCGCTGACCTAGAACACATCCCCAGTTTTATGCAGTCAGGCCTATGATTATGATTATGATTATGATTATTATTATGCACTCGCCACCTGAACCTGTCAGACCATTGTCAGCTGTTCAGTTGTCGGTGCCTCGGGGCCCAATCCAGTTTGTCGTTTCGACCATATGCGGTAGCCAATTTTGGTAGAATTAAAACAATAAGCGCTGACAAACGTCGCAACGCTTTTTGATAGTGGCACTCAACACATGGCTGAATGAATATGGTTTTAGGCGCGTTAATGTTCCGTCGCGACAATTAATGGTAATTATTCTTCATCGAAGCTAAACATTCAAATTCGATCGCACACACACATCGAAATACATTCATTATGGTATTGGTATTGGTATTGGTAGCTAACTTCAACCGCTCATCGTATAGTGAATGGAAACCTGTTTTTGCAGCCCACATTCGAGTTGCCGTTTGGTGTGAAAATATTTAAATCATTTTGAATATACTCGGAAATTAGAAATTAGAAAATCGAAACAATGAAACGTTTGAAATATCTTTAGTTAATGCAACGCTTAAGGAATTTCTAGAAGTCTTTCAAAATAATCATATTTCTTTTATAAATTATGCTCTTTACTTTATCTTTTATAAGATGGAGCAATGTATAATAATTGAATGTGTTTTTTATACCTTAATACACATGATATTTTATTCAAATTAAGAAATATTGTTCAACATTTTATTCAATTTCATTCATTTTTTAACTGCAGAATATATGGAACATTTGGAAAATGTTGAATTGAATTTACGCAAAGTTGAACGATTTTCTAGGAATAGTTTTCGAAATAAATATTTTGCATTTATGAGATGCGCTCTTTAGTTTTACATTTGTCAGATGGCATTAATACAATAGCAAGTTTCAAATAATAAATTTATTCTTTTCTAGATCGATTCAACATGTATTTATTAAATAAATATATAGTTTTTTCTTCCCATTGAGAACAACTATTAAGTCCTTTACGAAATTTCATTCACTCATTTATAAATCTATTTTTACCTAAGCAAAGTATATTTTAAGTATCACAATTGTTGCCTATTCAGTGTATGGTTTAACAAATCCACTTAAAGACACTCCAAGTGTTGAAAGAGCACTGAAGAGGTCGAGTGGCAGTTGCATGCAGATACACATGTATGTATATTGTACATATATAGTAGTAGTCATATATGAATATGTCACTCGCCATCTACATTTTTGCCCTCAGCAGAAGGCGCGCCATTCTTGATTTTGATTAATGAGCAGAGAGCAGAGTTTTTTTTTTTTTTTGTGTCTTATAGTTTTCCTCTGTTTTTTTATTTGCCAAAGTCGAGCATTACGATGTCTGTCAGTGGATCGCGTGGGTGTTGGCAGCTAACTAATTTAATTAGCATACGAAAATGGGGCACACTGTGTTTTGTGGGTGCATCTCTATGTAGGTATCTGTGGCAGCTGTACTTACCAACGCCCGCTACGTGAATCTTCTTCATCCAAGGGTAAATGATGCGCTCCCCGTCGGTTGTCTCAGCCATAAGATCATCTTCGCTGTCTGAATCAACCAGATCGTCATCATTGTCGTTGGACGCCAACTCGTCTGGGGATCGGTCGAGCATCAGGCGATCCTCCTCAGACATATCCTGCATAGGTGACATTCATTTTACATTAGTCTTTTCTATGCAATAACTCAATTAGTGATTGTATTTACATTTTCTGATCCCATATCATCACAGTGTAGAACTTCTTGCAGCTGCTGGCCAGTTGGCGCGGCTTCTTCAAGGCGCTTCTCTAATTTTAAGCCTGTAGTAAAGTTTATAGATATATATATATTATCAAGCATTTAATATATGTTATTTTAATACAATTAATAAACGTAAATGGCATATATAATTATGTATGTAGATCACATATTATATACAATTTATTGATTATATATGCATAAAGCAATGTTTTGAAAAATATCCATTAAATAATATTTCAAATGGATAACATAATAAATGTTATTTTTTACCTATAAATTAGATTTAAGGGAAAGGAAAGTTAGTTCTTAATTATTAACAAAGATCATTATAGATCGGATAATATTCAGTAAGTATTTGTTTTAAAACAATTGCTTTTTATTGAGGTTTCTTCTATTTTTTTATTATGAATCTTAGAGAGACTTTTAATATGTTTCTCCAATTAGATATTAGAAAAAAATTTAAGTAACATATTATCTTCATAGATCTTCTTTACCTCATCTACAATATTAGCTTGTGGAATACATTAAAAAATAATTTGAGTAATTTTAAATCTAGGTGAAACTGTCATCAATTAATAATTACTCTATGATAAATACAAAAATGTAAATTTTTTCAAATTCTAGAAGCTTGACCAATTACCGATTTCTATCGGCTCAATGGGTGATCAATAATTCGTTTTAAAGTACTCAATATGAACCCGTGTTTAACAAGGGTAAATATAATATTTGCAAATTATCCATTTTCAGCATAATTTCAATAATGATATTTTCAAATAATTTTGTAATTTCTGGTGATAGATGGGTATTATATGATATTGATTCGATTGCTGCGGGAGGCTTACCTAGTTCCTGCAGGCCCAGTGAGGTGTTTGTTGGTGGCTCCGTTGAGGAGCATTGCAGTGGCAGGTCCATAATCTGTGAGGAGAGCGGCGAGTGGCCTTGGGAGTGGGTGCTGCCGACGCTGCCGTTAGTGGTGCCATAGTATCCCCCGTAGTATCCATTCGAGCTGTTGGCCCCGCTGCTCGGCACATTGGCCACATTTACCGACGGCGGCGGCCCGTAGCCCGTCTCCGAGTGCACCACTCCAGCGGATATATACTCGGGCGCATGGTGAACGGCAGCCGCTGCCGCCGCCGCCGCATGATGGCCATAATAGCCCAGGCTCTGATGCGGATGTGGATGCGGATGATGAGTTGGCGGCGTTGTGGCATAGCTTGTTGTGTAGCCGCCGTTCTGATGATGGTGGCCAGAGAGGGCACTATTACTGTGGTGGTGCGAGTGCGAGTGCGAATGCGGGAGCGGGTTATGGTTGTGACTGTGATTGTGGTGGTGTGCAGCAGCGGCCATATAATCATTGACCATTTCCGCCGGATGCGTGGCGTGCGGGTGACCAGACATGCCAGGGCCGCCAACTCCCCCACCAACACCACCACCGCTGACTGCGCCACCGCCAACGCCGACACCAACGCCACCCATGTGCCCCGTGGAGGCAGTCATGGAGTAGTGGCCATTGTAGTGGTGATAGTCATCGGCAACCGGCGGGAACTTGGGATCCAGGCCATTGCCCATGGACATGGGGCTCTGGACGTGATGCGGCGCATGTGGGTAACCCATGAGGAATGAGCTCATCGTAGTTTCTGTATTGCTATCGTGGATTACTGATAAACTTGTGCTAGGCTCTGGCTCTGCGACTCCTACACTCAGAGCACATATTTCATTTAAGTATACACTTATTGGCACTCACTTTTTGCACTATTCGATCACTTTTTTGTGTGGATTGTGGCCAGCATTATTACTATTATTATTATTATTACAATTATGAATATTATTTGTTGCAGGAGATTTATTTGTTTATTGAACACAGCGCGAACGCCGCGCAACCGGCGCGTGGAAAACGTTGAAAACAAGCGGCGTAAGCAACAAAAATGCCAAACAATTTTACAGCGACGTTCAGAAAACATTCAAAGATTTGAAAAAAAACGACGCGTCTGATTCACGAGTGCGAATGCGAACCGTTCGATTCGAGCCGTTCTTTTGTTATGAATACGAACGAATGCTCTGAGCGCGAACGAACCTGTTTTCTGTTTTCCTTGTTCGCAATTGCTTTTGACTGCTTTTCGCCTTCTCTCCTTCTCCCTCGCCCTCTCTTTCTCTCTCTCTCTCTCTCTCTCTGTCGGTCTCTTTCTCCCTCTCTCTCTCTCTCTCTCTCTCTGAGTGTGTGTCGGTGCGCTCCGAAACGCAGCGTGGAAATCGCCATTGCCATTGACAGTCAGCGATGACGTCGACGCTTGAGTTTCGAAACTCGATTTACTGGTTTTGTTTTTGCTTTTGCCACAAAGAGAAGCAACAATAGCGCACAAAGGACAGCCCACACGCAGCGAGAACTTTGTGGCCATGGCTGCACGCCATTTTCAACCACCAGCCACAGCGGCAGCGTGAAGAGTGCGGCACACAATCGAGCAAGCGAGATGGCAGCATCTTTAGTCACACCCATTCGCCGCTGCTGCTCGCCTTGCTCTTGTTCTACAGGTGCGTCCAAAATATTGAGCATGCCTGCAAATCGAATAGGTAGTCAATGCTTCAAGCCAAATTTGATATTATTAAATAAAATTAATTTTATTTATTTATTTTATTTTTAAATTAACTACATGTCGGTACAAATTTTTATTCGCTTATAGGATAGGATTATATATAATGATAAATTCTACAACAATAACAAGTGTAAAGTCCTTAATGGGATCTATGAAAATGATTCTGATGCTAATTGCTCTCGGAACAACAGTTTTTCACAATGTTGTACACTTAAGGCTATGTCTATTTAAACATAGTTATTCTTGTCTTTCATTAATTTTTCAATTTTTATATGTACTTTAAATAAGAATCGTTTCATGCCATTTCAAAATATTTAAATAATTTTAGTATATTAGTGTTCTTATGAATAAGGTATAGACTTTTAGTGGACAACTATTTAGAAAGTTTTCAATATATTTTTATTTAATACCCTTTACATTAAAATTCGAGGGAGTCTACTATATAACTCGGCTGTACCTAATTTAAAGGAGCTGACTGTATGCTCTTGGCGGCATCACAATCAACAAAAAGTCTGTTGCTGTCTGAGCGAGAGTGAGTGTAAATGTGAGTGTAAATGTGAGTGTGAGTGTTGGTTTGTAGTCTTCGGCCATGGCGCACGCTCAAAATAAAAAAAATAAAAACTAAAACAAACTGCCCTCATCGTCGACAGACGCGTCGTGCGTGGCCAACAAGCACCGCCCACTTTTCACTATGCCTTTCATCGATCCCGCATGCGAATATGGCAGAGAAGACCATTTATTTAAACCAGAAGTTACAAACGGATGCAGCAAATTCTCATCGACTACACCAGCTACACTCGTATCGATCGTCGCCGGAGACTCTGATATGGCTACCGAGTTGAGATTCTCCACTTATGGCTACCAAATACATACAAACATTCATACAAATAAATATTTGTATATTTGTATGCAGTTCGAAAGGTCCCGGCTGACTTGCAATATTTGGCCATTGCCAATGATTGTTGAATGAATATCACCGCACTTGGCGCAATGCTTCATATTTATTGTGGTTAGCGATTCAAGGGGAGGGGATGCTGCTGCTGCTGCTGTTTATTGTTGTCGTCGGTGTTGTTGATGTTGTTGTTGTTGTTATCATTACTACCGTGATTTGTATTGTTGCTGAAAATGTTGATGAAATGATGAGCATGACTGGCAAATATTCAAATGAAGCGGGCACACATGGAAAATCGATAGAATGATTGTTGTATAATGCACATAAAGAAGGTCGCACATTAAACGCTTTAATATCTGTACACCCAAATATTTGGACTCTTTCCATACACTACAGCCAACAGCTAACAGCCAGCAGCAACATCAGCACACACTCTAATGAGATTCTTTAATCATCTCCTCCGGCTTAAAATCGGAGTCACACTTCTGCCATGTGCCCACCATTCAAGTGGGATATGTGGTTATGTGGGTGAGCACGGAGATCGTCTAATTGCCGAATAATTGAACTCATTCCATTGTAACACACGTGCTATATGTGCCAGTCCAGTTACTAGTGTGAGTGTGAGTGGGTGTGAGTGAATACTAATTAATCGACTTCCAACTGATTCGATTTTGATGGTGACTATCAAAAGTTCATTAGGACAATTAAGTGTACAAAACTAAAAGTTATGTGCCACTCAACTGTTTGTGGCCAGTGGTTTTATTTGACTTGTTGGGGCAAGCATAAAAATATATGTAAATATGTACATACATATGTAATGTATGTTCGTATTTGAATCATTTACATTTTCTACATATGACTTAAGGATTGAAACAACAACAGAAGAAACATTAAAAAGCTGTCATGTTAACGAAAAAATAAATATTATTTTTAGAGAACACATTTTTATGTTTGGTTAATAAATGATTGTCTAAATACAAAATCTATAAAATACAATATTTTAATATAATGTGTACATCTTCAATAAGTAGATAATAACTCGTACTTATCCTATTATACTAATGGATGCAAATATTTCAAACGTTTCTCGACATGTGATTGTCACTTATGCAAATTTCCACAAAAGTGAAAATACATCACAAATCTCTTTGGCTGACAGACTCCTGAGAATGTCTTGTCTCTCCATGTGCTCCACTGCACTGTAAGTTTGAAGTAGAAACTCCTTTTTACTTTTTAGTTTACTCTATGATATGAGGCTGACCGGTTACCAAGAGACGTATAACAATGGGAAGGCAAACGGGTGGTGTGCGTGGTGTGTGTGGTGGGTGATTCACAAAGAGCTTTGTCTACGAGATGATCCAATGCCAAGGAAGGAAGGCAGGCAGGCAGGCAGGCAGGCAAAGTGGGTGCCTTGGCTGCTGCTGTTTGCACAGCATTTGAGTTCCAAATCCCAATTCAGAGCCAGCAATCAGTTGCGACTGTCAGGCGGCAAAGGAAGTTCACTTGCTGCACAAGGCAAATGTGATTAATGGTTCTATGCCGGGCACATTATGTGTGCCCTGTTGTGAGACACTGTTGGTCTTGGGTTCGCATTCGTATTCGTAGTCGTATTGCTTTTCTTTGTTGTTTCTTTTTTTTTGTTTTTTTTTTTTTAATTTTACCCCACTCGCCCTTAAGCTACCCGTCAAATAAATTTTTATATAAAATTAAGCAACCTGAGAACTCGCTCAAAGTTAGTTCTTAGACTTAAATCATGCAAATGGGAGTTTACCCAATTATCTAATTAACTATTTAATGTCTAATTTGGATAACATAAAATATTTAAATATTATTATAAACACTTTAGATGGCCAACAGCTTTTAGATACCATCTCGGGGCAACGTGATGTGATTTATGAATAACCAAATTCCTAATAAAATGATAATGATGATTGGAACTGTGATCAAAATAAATTCCTGATTAACAATAAAATCGGTTAGATTGAAATACAGTTAGAAGATGATCGTTTGTACGATGAAAATCGGCTTATTTTCGACTTAAGCCGGGACTTAAAAGCGTTAGTAAACCTTTAAGTGCGTTAGTAAACCTTTAAGTGGTATTAACATGTCAGAGAAACTAGAAATTTCGAATTCTCCGTTGTTTTCATAACTAAAACATTGTGAAAAATACGTAAAACTTATTCAGAAAAGTTATGTTTATAAAAGTATTCAATATAGGCTTAAAAGTCGTTTAACTTTCGAAATCCATTCCCTTCCATTGCCACCCTTCGCAGCAATCTTTCTCTGGTATGGAAATTGTGTTAACGACATGTTGACAAGTGAGATTGAGCGTTGGGTGACAAGTGTGGGAATTGAATGCTGATTAGCTGGATCTCCCTTATCGCAGGCAGTTCCAATTTTAAGCGATGAGCTTGTGGAGACACGGCTAGGAGCATTTAGGAGAGGACTCTGAAGGAGGCCGTGGCTCATTGAAATGATTGACTGAGTGATTAATGATTGACTGAGCAACTTGCGTCAATCAATGGCAAACGCAATTAAAGCTTTGAGCAACAGCATGTTCAATGTGACTTTTATTGGCTTTAAATTGAAGTTTGAAATTTCGTACATGTTTTGAAATCTGGTCGAATTGGGCAAGTGCTCGAGTAACGGTTCATCCAATTTCAGAGTCGAGTCCCATGTAAGGCATGTAAGACAGAAGACCAATTAAATGTGATCCATTTGGTTGCCATTGGGTTAAACGTTTTTTTCCATTTATCAACTGGCTCAAGTGTTTGCTGTCATATTATGCTCAAATCGGCGACCCAGGCACAGATACACAGATACACAGATACATCTACAGGTACATATTGAGAGCGAGATGAGTGTTTAACCAAAATTTACACTGCGTCTGTTTTTAAAATAATTACACGAATGGCTTAAATGAGCTGAGACAGCGCTCGGGGGGTGCATAGGTAGCTGTCCAGCTCGAACTGTGTGGTGTGGGACTGGAGTGGGATAAGGCACAGGTACCCATTACCCATGACAGATTATCTCTGATTGATTTCATTTTAGCCCATGCACACACACACACACACAATCCATAATGGAGGCTGCGACTGCGGCTTCGACTGCACATTTGGCTTGGGGCCAAAATACTATGTTTTTGGCTTTGACTCCGACTTGGGTCACCTTTGCCGCCAATTGGTTAAATGTTAAATGCGCGCACGTTTTGAAAGATGGGTCCGTAATTGCCTCACATTAGCCGAAATTTACGAAACTGTTAAAATTATGTTTAATGATCTCAACAATTTACCCTTTTCGCCTTCCAACAAGAACTACACCAAAATTTCATATGATGCCCAAGACATTTTACATTCACAAGCCAATTTTCCATGTTCGACAATACTTTTCAATACTGAGTGTATTTTAAGCTCAATATGAATTGGAATTAATGACAATATTCAAGAGGATATGCTTGGAAAAAACTGTTATTTTTCTGGAATTTGTTCCCATATTTTGCCATTTTGTAGTTTATTTAATCAAACACAAATATT